AAACGTAGAAACCTCGAGGGCCATTAGACATTCTGAGGCCTCTTTCCAGAATTGTAGAATTGCATAAATACAGTAGTTAAAAAAAGTCGTTAAATAGTTAAAAAATAGTTTGTTAAAATAGATAGTTTAAAAAGAAAAAGCCATCAACATCCAGTGATTTTAATTGAAAGCATGTTGGAGAGTCAGATTATTAGAGTTTGCTAAACGAACTCAGAGTGATTCTCTTATCCGTGTTTATTCCTGATCTTTAAAAAATAAACATTTAAAAGTAACAGACCTGAACAGTTGAGGCCTTTTTATGCTACTTTAAACAAGTAAACCAGCGAGACCAGGTTTTAACTCTGAAATGATTTATTCATTTCTTCGTTTTCTATAAAAATCCGACCGTTTTCCTTGTTTCATTCAAATATCGCTTAGCAACTTAGCCGTAAGTAGCATTGGATGCAGCGCTGCTTCTGCTGAGCTGACCACTACGACTCATTATTCACCACTAGGTGGCGTTTACTAGGTTTAGCTTCACTGTTTCTCTGTGGTTAAAAAAACTCGCTCAGGAAGACAGAGTTCAGTGCTTTTTTTTCACCAAAGTCTCCATTTTCACAGGGAAAAAAATGTCGCTTGATTTGGCTCTATGCGCTTTTTGGAAATTTATATGTTCTGGCAAAAATTGATCCAAACTTTAGGGCCTCCAAATACTTTAGCTGACAGTTTTCACAGCAAAAACTGAACAATAAAGAAAAAAAATGGACTAAAATAAGTATATTTAGCTTTAATATGAGTAGGTAAACAAGGTGATCTGCTGATGAAAATATAAATTTTTTCCTAATAAGATAATCTCTTTCTTTTCTGTTTTCTGCATGAAGTATTTCATTCTGTGGCTTATTTGTCTTATTTGATCTAAATCAGGGAACATTTATTCATTTCAAGAAAAGATTAATTAAATTTTTGCCGTTTAAATCGTTAAAGTTCAGGACTTTTCTAGACTCTTTGAGTGGAACATGATGAAGATGATGATGGCGGTCTTAACTTTGAGGCAGTTATTTTTAGCTTACAGGGAAAATGATTTCAAACACATTTCCCTCTTTTAAAGCAATAATCAAATCTGATTGAGCAGGTGATCTCGCCATGCTGGACTTTAGGTTGTGACCTGATGCATGAAACATACTCACACAAATATTGTCGAACTCCTTCAGGTTCAAGGACTTCTACGAAATGGATCCTGAGAAGTTTCAGAACAAGACCAATGGGATCACGCCCAGGCGATGGCTGGTCATGTGCAACCCTGGCCTGGCTGAGGTCATAGCTGAGGTGTGTGTGCTGATGATCACTGGAGGACAAAGTCATGAAATATCACAGCTAAAGACACGTCTCACTTTTATCATCAGTTATTAAAATAATAAAAAAAAATCATGTATATTATAGTAGTTGGCAGATATTTCCTGCCTTTGGGTAAAATAACTGTTAATTAAAATGTAGGCGCCAGTTTCTACATTTGTAAATGTAAGATTAATTTTAAGATTTTTTTTCTTGACGATTAATACAAAAATGTGACATCAGATTTTTGAATTTTACAAATAAAATATTTAGAAGTCTGAATCTCCACCTCCCGTAGAAGCTGTTACACTCCTTCCCAGTTGGTGGCAGTAATGCACATCAAGGTTGTTCACCAACAATGTTAAAAAAGAACTGGAAGAAGATGAAAACAGATCCATTGATGGTTAAGTCTTTGCTGAAATGTTTTTGACACTTAGGCAGTATTATGTTCAAGCAATGGTTCTGTTTTGTCGTCTTCTCCTTTAATGGCTGCTGGTGAACAACCTTCAGGCTCTTTACTGCCACCATCTGGTTAGGAGTATAGTAGCGTCATCAGGCGTTGGAGATATTAACTTGTAAAGGGGAATCTTATTTGTTAATTTGTGATTCATATTTGAAAAGTTCTATTTCATACCCGTGTATTTGTGATGTTCACTCGTAAATTCAGAATTTATTCTTGTAATTTTCTTTTAATTTGCACTTCTAAATTTAACATTCCTACTCGGAAATTTAGTTTTGGTACTACGCCTCTCTACTTAATTTGCGATATGCACACCTAGATTTACCATTCGTTCTTGTAAATTTGTGATTCATACTTCTAAATATCCCAGTCGTGCCTGTAAATTTGCGATTTGTACTTGTACATTTACCATTCATAGTTGTAAATTTGCGATCTGTAATCCTAGATATTCCAATTGTACCTGTAAATTTGCTATCTATCTTTTGTAGATCTACCATTCGTAGTTGTAAATTTGCGATCTGTAATCCTAGATATTCCAATGGTACCTGTAAATTTGCGATACATACTCCTAGATATCCCAGTTGTATCTGTAAATTTGCGATTTGTACTCGTAGATTTACCGTACTTAGTTGTAGATTTGCGATTTGTACTCGTAGATATTACAACCGTAGTTGGAAATTTGTGATTTGTACTCCTAGGTATTCCAATTGCATCTGTAAATTTGCGATTTTAACTCTTAGATATCCTGATCATAGTTAGAAATTTGTGATTCGTACTCCTGGATATTCCAATCGTACCTGTAAATTTGCTATCTATCTTTTGTAGATCTACCATTCGTAGTTGTAAATTTGCGATACATACTCCTAGATATCCCAGTTGTATCTGTAAATTTGCGATTTGTACTCGTAGATTTACCGTACTTAGTTGTAGATTTGCGATTTGTACTCGTAGATATTACAACCGTAGTTGGAAATTTGTGATTTGTACTCCTAGGTATTCCAATTGCATCTGTAAATTTGCAATTCCTACTCCTGGATATTCCAATCGTACCTGTAAATTTGCTATCTATCTTTTGTAGATCTACCATTCGAAGCTGTAAATTTGCGATTCGCACTCCTAGATATTCCAATCGTAGTTGGGAATTGCGATTTTGTTCTTGCATTGCTCCTAAGTTGTAACCTAATAAAGCATACTCATAACTTTTAAACTTCTACTCCTACAGATGAAACATCTGGTGTCACATGTATTTATAAGTTAGCAAATGTTAAATTTATTGACATTATTGACTTTCTTTACAATTTCATAAACCTACACATCCATTTTTATTGAAGGTTGCCTTTTTTGCCCTGTAACTCAGCCTCTGCCCTGTTTACCTTGCAGAGGATTGGAGAGGACTACATCCGCGACCTGGACCAGCTGAAGAAGCTTCTAGACTTTGTGGACGACAATGCCTTCATCAGAGACGTTGCAAAGATCAAACAAGTAATAGTTTATAACGTGGATGTCAGGGTTTATCGGTACAATTCACATTTTTTGGGTTTGAAACAGCGTCTGTTTGCTTGAACTTTCAGGAGAACAAGCTGAAGTTGGCCGCCCACCTGGAGGAGCACTATAAGGTGAAGATCAACGCCAACTCCATGTTTGACGTGCAGGTGAAGAGGATCCACGAGTACAAGAGGCAGCTGCTCAACTGCCTGCACATCATCACGCTTTACAACCGTGAGCGTCGTCAGAAACGGATATAGATTATATCTAGACTCAGAGAAAATAATCTCTAATGGTTGTTTTTTTCTAAATCAGGGATCAAAAACGAGCCCAACAAGTCATGGACCCCCAGGACCATCATGATTGGAGGAAAGGTGAGCAACCTTCACACCCTTTGTTAGACATACCTGCATGTTGTCCTACCTTAAACACTTGCCTGACCAAAGCATTGACCAATAAAAACAGGGTTCCTGCGGGTCCTTAAAAAGTCTTAAAAGGCATTGAATTCTTCAAAATAAAATTAAGACCTTAATTGGTATTAAAATGTCTTAAATCAGTCTTTCGTAGGTCTTAATCACCACATTCAAAGCTAGTCTGGAGCTACATTTCACCTCCTATTATTAATAGTCTCTAGATAATAATAAATTACAACTTTTTTCATTTAGTGGAGGGAATAATAATGAACACAGTCAGATAAATACAAATTAGATTAACATTTTGCCAAATAAAACCAAAATATCGCGATCAGAGCCAGCAGTACTTCACACATGGCTATGCAGAGAGAAGGTTGCTGCAGATGGGCTAACGTTAGCCCTGGCTGCTGCAGACGGGCTACCGTTAGCCCTGGCTGCTGCAGACGGGCTAC